TGATTTGCGATACCGGAGATCGCGTTGCGAATTATCGACCACATTGCGATTTAGTTTTTTGGGCAAATCCAAAAAAAGTTGGTTAAAATCGTATATTATAAGGCATTTTTGGTCAATGAGGTTATTTTCTCTAAATTTAATATATGAAGTTAAGATAAAAATATTTTTTTTTAATGTTAGCTTGGGTCAAACATTTAGCTTTGGCCTATGATATAAGATATATATGTTATATAGTATTCTTTGATCCAAGTAAATTGGCTGCTCTATTGGTTAGTTTTTCTTCATATCACCGAAGAGACCCTGGATCGATTCCCATGACCACCTCTATTTGATTTATTTATCTTTCACTAGGGGTGACACATAAATTAAATTAAAATTAATTAATTAATTAAAAGAAAATAAATGTAATAATCAAATTGAATGGTGACATGGCACCGTCACCATTCAATTTGAAGATTAATTTTATTTTAATTTATTAAAATTAGGACTAAATTAAAATAAAATAAATATAATCATCAAATTGAATGGTGACACATGGCATCATTCCATTTGAAGATTAATTTTATTTTAATTTATTAAAATTAGGATTAAATTAAAATAAAATAAATGTAATCATCAAATTGAATGGTGATACTTGACACCATCCCATTTGAAGATTAATTTTATTTTAACGTATTAAAATTATGACAAAATTAATAGAATATATAAGTAAGAGTAACCAAATATGTAATTATATCAAATTTTCTAGTTGCCACATCAGGACTTCCGTTAACTATTACGGTAAATACATTTAAATAATTAAGTGATTTGATTGATAAAAATTCAAAAATAGTGGTCAAAATGAAAAAAGACTATAGTTGGGTGGTTACTAGTATAGTTTACCCAAAAAATATAATTTCCAAATTTTATTTTAAAAAAAACTGTGAAGGGGGAAAGCGCTGGAAACTTCACCCAATTTTCCTACGGAATTCTCTGTCGGACCAAAAAACCAACAGCAACTCACTCACTATATACTGAATTTCCCATTTCGTTTTTCTTTATCATATAGATCCTTAGTGTCCTTACGATGCCGTCGCGCCGTAGAACCCTCTTGAAAGTCATCATCCTCGGCGATAGCGGGTTAGTTAATTCCTTTTCCTTGAGGCTTCCCCTATTATTCTCTCATCTTTCTATTGGAATTGCTGGATACATAAGTTGTTCAGCCTTAGTTAATTCGGCCTGTAATTTTGTAGAATTTTTGTATGTATGTTTTCTATCAATCCAATGTTTGTGATTGTTATTGATCTGTGATTTGCAGGGTGGGGAAGACGTCTTTGATGAATCAGTATCCTGTAGTTGTATTTTATTGATTACTAAGACATTGAAGTCGTATACTGTATGTAGTATTAATTAATTGTAGTTGTTATCGATTCGAACTTTTTTTTTGCTTGCCTTTACAATTGCTTTTAGATATGTGAATAAGAAGTTTAGCAATCATAAGGCAACGATCGGAGCCGATTTCTTGACAAAGGAAGTGCAGTTTGAGGATAGGCTATTCACTTTACAGGTTAGATTTCATGCTGAGAACAAACATGTCTGATTTTGTATAAAGTTAGTATCTTTTTTCTTGAGCTCAAGTACAAGCATTTCTTTTTAACATTTTGATGAGCTTGCTTCGGCTGTTGCATTTGGTTTTGGGATCTTAATTTCTCGTGCTGGTTAGTGTTTATGATGAAGAAGTGGCTTCATTCTTATCTCTAGCTCTTGTACTAAAGCTTAGCTATGGTGGAATAGAGCTTAACCTGGATTACTAAAAACATCTATGATTTGTTGCAAATGCATCTTACTTTACTATGTGATTCCACTAATTGGAGGTGCTAGTGCACTTTCTTTTTTATTCATGGAAAAAGCTCGGATATGATCACTTTTTCTCTAGTTGTAGCATTGACTAGAAGCAAATTTGTGATGGGCTATGGCTGACTTGGGAATTATGGTTTATTGCGTATTGATTGGACTTTGGTTGATATGATCACTGCACAAATTTATCTTCGTTAAGAAGGTTTTTCAACATTATTTTGTTTCCCAGATCTGGGATACTGCTGGTCAGGAAAGATTCCAGAGCCTAGGTGTTGCTTTCTACCGCGGTGCTGATTGCTGTGTTCTTGTATATGATGTCAACTCGATGAATCATTTGAAAACCTTAACAATTGGAGAGAAGAGTTTCTTATTCAAGTACATTTAATCTGAATTCTGTTAAAACCAGCAAACCAGCTCTATAGGATTTATCAAATAGAAATGATAATTTGAGAAACCTTGCAGGCAAGCCCTTCGGATCCAGAGAATTTCCCATTTGTTGTTTTGGGAAACAAAATGATGTGGATGGTGGAAACAGTAGAGTAGTATGTATATTTATTTTTATTCTTCTTTCTTCTTCTCTGTAGTATTACATGTCATCTCTCACTTCTCTACAAAGGTACAATTATCCGCTTCTTGTGGATTCTTTAGGTATCTGAGAAAAAGGCTCGAGCATGGTGTGCCTCAAAAGGAAATATCCCATATTTTGAGACATCTGCCAAGGAGGGAGTTAACGTGGAAGAAGCATTCCAATGCATAGCAAAGAATGCCCTAAAGAGTGGGGAAGAGGGAAATGTAAGTTAACAAATCATAATCAGTTAACAAATAATTCTTAATTTTGAATCATGCAAAAACCTTTATATGTACTTGACACTAATTTGTTGCTACATAGAGAAATTTAATACGATAATTGAATGAACTGATTCGTTTCAAATGCATCCAATTTTAGTTTATTTCACGCATTATTCAATCATCTTACTGTGTAGCATTTTATCATTTCAAATTATGAGGGGAATTTTCAATTTTGGTATCTGAGAATTAACAACATTCACATGCAATATGAGAAAAACCTTTAGCTGTCACTAATTAGTTGCTACATAATGAACTGCAATATGATAATTGAATGAACCAACTATTATTTCAAATGTATTTGATTTTAGTTATTTCATGCTTTAGTCGATCATCTTTCTTTGTAGCATTTTAGCATTTCAAATTATGGGGAGAATTTTTTTTGGCATCCAGGAATGAAGGACATTTGCCTGAAATATTGATTTTCAAGGTCCCATTGTCGCAGAATAAAAGTTGTTAAAAGCTTGGATTCTGAAATCATTTTTTACTTTTGCTTTTTTTTGGTATTGTGTGAATAATACTTAATTTCTTGTTTTCTTATGTTGTGATGGATATTTTGTTCCTGTAGATACTTGCCCGACACCATCGACGTTGTAAGCAGCAGCCAACCAAGGTCAACTGGATGTGAATGTTGAAATACTTTATGCTATTTTTTTGGCTTATGTTTGCACAATAATCATCTTTCAAGTTTCACGAATGATTTGGCCTTCACAACCATTTTTATGGACTCAAAGTGGGACTATACACCGTACGTTAGTAATTGTATGAGAAACAAATGGTCTGTTATTTGATTTTCTGGCTGGATTTAGTGGTTTGTTTGGTGCCTTTGCCTCACTTGTTTAGCATTCCTACTTTTGCCTATGGTAAACCGTACTTCTCGTATCTCCTGATAGTTGGACGTGTGGTGCGAGCCAGTATTAGAGAATTGGTTATCCCCAGCTGTTTGTTTAGGTGCTCAATCTCTACTCAACTCCATGGAAACTCCGTACCCAAAGCCAATCTCTGGTCCCAAACCTGCTTGGGCTGGATTGGGATAGGCGTAATTGGTGCAACCATGGCTTCTCATCTCCTCTCAGCTGCCTACTCCCTCACCATGTACGCTCGCACCCCACCAAAAGCGTCGTCTCTCCTATACCTAGGTGCCCATCTTGTGGACTCCCCACAACATCTCACCCATCAATCCGACCTAGAAGGTGTTCTCTCAACCTGGGTGCTGTCATTGTAGATCACACCAGCAGACGAGCGAGATCTGTGCTTCAGCTCGCAAAAAGGGTTGTTGGTTGATCGCTATTCCTGTTTTTGGCGGCGATATTGGAGCTAGAGAAAAGAAATTGATGATTGTCGACTTCCAAGATTTTTCCAGTTGATTTTGACGTCTCAAAATTGAGGTCGAAATCAGTCCCCAATTCGACCTGAACAAGTTTAATGCACGTTGTTTTATTTATCTTATTCTTGTTACATTTTCCAAAAAAAGCGACTTTTTATTGTTTTCATTATCAAATGATTTTATGTTTGATCGGATTTTTTAAAATAAAAAATAAAAATTCCCATGCATAGACGTGGCTGCAAACCAACACTGTCAGTGGTCTTTTATATTTTCCCTAGATGCCTGTATTGTTATTCATGTTTTTTTAACCAACCAGCTTTGTCAGTAACAGAAGAAGCAAAAGGTTACAGAAGGACAATCATCTCAGTTCTTCAAATATGAAAGATTGCAGGCATTCTCATCATTCAATCTTCCATAATATTACAATTCCAACAATAAAACAGAAAGAAACAATCAAAGCTTACAAACAACATTCCGTACATCTTTTCATTGTGATCTTTTCTAATCTTAAATCGTTCAATGAGAGTTGAATTATTTGATTTCACCATGACTTTGGCTATCCTCTTTGAAGGACAACAAACCACATGCAAGTAGCTCTACTGCTTACGTAGAAAGTATATATAAGTAATAATGAAAACTTGGCGTGAGATAGGCTCGAACTCTCGACCTCAGGATAACTCAGAAAGCTATGAGACCTACGCGCTAGCCAACTGCGCCACCACCCCTGTTGCTGATTGGTGCTTTCTATAATATAAAACACATAGTTTTCATTATTTAAACACGCCCTTTTTTTGAAGTCTCAATCGCAGAACTGAATCTCTAAATGGAAGAAACAAAAGGGTTAAAGGTGTAAGAAATCCATCAACGCTTAAGAAAATATATATCTGTTTTTGGCTATTAAGTATTTACAAACATGGCAGTGTTTGTAGCAGGATATTGTTCTTGTTACATGAGAATATGAATGTAGTTAGAAACAAAATAGAATTGCAGCTCAACGTGAATGTGAATCCTCAGACTGAACACTGGTGTAGGCATACTCCCTACTTTCCATATTGCAACCATTCTCATTCACCTCTGTCCATGAAACCTTCCATGTCCTCACTAGGCTTATCCTGCATACGTAAGGACCCTCATGAGTAATGCATTTCAGACTTATCAATCACAACAGATTCTCGAAAAAACTAAATTAGCAGTTCGATCGAGCTGCTTGGGGAAACTAAGAGAAGCTAATCACCGAAAAGCATTCCCGCTAAATTAACCTCTAAACACGATACGTTGCTAACACTGCTGCAACCAACATGTCACTGTTACCGTTGGCTACTCCGACATTATTAACATCCACACATTTAGCCCAATGACCGCAACTTATTTAACACCATCATTGCCCTTGCTGCTAGATTACATGCACCCCGTCATCTACTCTCTTACAATAATTCATTAAATTCCAGAACTAAAGTGTCATATGATAGAAAGATGCAAAGAGTTACCAGCAAGAATGAATTACTTAACCGACTGTTTCGGTTTTCTTACTACAAAGGAAGGCTTATTCGTTGTCGATATTAGACAAGAAAATATTAGAATTGGTGCGAGTTGGAAGTTCGGTAGAAATCTACCAAACATTACATCTGATGGCAAGCATCTGAAATACCATTCTAGATTTTAAAATGAATACGAAATTACGATTTGGTCAAAGAGATGTTGACAATGAAGGCTTTAATGCAGTGATTAAGAATCGTCGTTTTACTACAAACGAAGAAGGTTACCTGTTTGTTTCAATCGTCCTCTTCGCCAGCATAAGTGTCAAAAACACAGGAACCATGGCAGCGCACAAGTGCTTACGGATGTGCCCACTTACAACATGATGGGTCCATTTGTTTATTACTTTATCCATTGCTTCTTCTATCTTAGCTAAAAGATAGAATCCTGCGATTGTAGATTTATGCTAAGAGATGTGTATTCATATAATGTATTCGGAATCCTGAAGGCCATGGAAGACAAGAATAAACCTGCTTCCAAAGCCAATATGCAGAATGTGTGTACATTGGCAGCAACAAGATAGCCATGAGGGGGATGGCAATGCAAGGAACAAACTGGACAATGCCATAAGGTCGGAGGTCATCAAAAAACCTGCAGCAGAAAAGCTGTAGTAAGACATATTGAAAGAACCAGCATAAGAGAATACGCTGCAAAAACTTCAGACATCCCAACTTAAACGGACCAGCAGACAAAAAAAATTCACAGTTCCTAAGACATCATTGATTCCAATCCCAACCTATCATCACCCCTAGTTTAACATTTAACATCCTCCTTATAGACACCCTTTTTGTCCAGGTTTTTTTTATTTAACTTTATTGTTTTATTATTATTACTATTATTTTTATTATTATTTTAATACAAATGTACAAAATTTTGCAGGCCACTAAATTACGAGGCCCAACCTAGGCTTAACCTGAAGCCCAACAAAGGTCTGACCCAATTACAAAGAGAAACCCAGCAGCCCCAACCATCAACCCAACAGAACCCAGTTGGAACACGACCCGAATCCAGGATCCAACCCGAGATGAATAGGGTTTTATAATCCTAACCCTAGCTGCTACTGTCGCCGCCGCTCTATGATGTTGCTGCCGACACCTCGCCTGCATCCATCTATCAAACAGTGACACTCAACAGTGGAAATGGTAGGAAAATCGGCTATTTGACATAACTGACACCAATTTTCTTTAATATTCCCTTTCTGACACCGTTTGACCAATATTTCTCGAAGTAGCACCCTTTCTGCTGAGTTGGCAAAGGCGCGTCCCCGGGGACGCGCTTTACCCGTGTTTTCGCTGAGTTGGATGTCACGTGTGGAAGGCGCATCGATGCGCCTTCACTGACTCGACTGCCACGTGTGGAAAGCGCATCCCCGGGGACGCGCCTTCCATTAAATGCCATAAATGCCCCCATCCGTTTTTCCTAACTACCCCTCCTCCTCCCCTATATAAACCCCCTCAACCCTCCCTCATTCTTCACACCAAAATCATATTCTCCTCTCTTATATAACTCAAATTCTCCAACTATTTGAGTTTTAAATTTGTTATTAGTGGTAAGACATTTATTTTTATGTTAGTATTTTTTAAATAGTTATTATTTTTATATTAATATATTTATGTAAATATTATTTTTTTTATTAAAATAATATTTATATAATTATTATTTATTTAGAATTATTAATTTTTTTTTGCTAATTATATTGTTTTGTCTACAGTTATAATGGAAAACGAAATGCTGTTGCGATTGGATATTGATCATATCTCCAGACATTTTAGCGATATGGTAATATTTTTTATAATTAATGTTAATATTTAAATTTATTTTTATTTTAAAGTTATTATGAATTTATATTAATTTTTATTTTTTATAATGTATATTATTTAGGATACTGATCGTATTTTAGAGACTTTTATTAAAAATCCACGTATACCGACACCGGAACGTATTTTGCCATATTTGGCTTCTGCCGGGTTCGGGTATATTGCAACAATTATAGGCGGTTGCAAACTCGAACATGTCCTAATTTCTGCACTGATTGAGAGGTGGAGGCCGAGACACACACTTTTCACCTTCCATGTGGAGATGCGACAATTACATTGGAGGATGTCTCTATGCATCTGGGGCTTCCCGTCGACGGAAATATGATGTGTGGTATGGCGGATGGTGATTGGCAATCAATGTGCATTGATTATCTTGGAGCTGCTCCGCCAGAGTTTAATGGAGGTAGAATAGTTTTATCTTGGTTGAAAGCTAATTTTGAGGTTTTAAATGAAAATGCTTCAGAGGATCAAGCAAAGGCATGTGCTCGGGCATATATTCTACGAATAATTGGAGGAATATTGATGCCCGACAAATCTCGCAACCAGGTGCATTGTATGTGGTTGCGACATCTGATCGATTTTGATGAAGCTGGAAGATATAGTTGGGGCGCTGCAGTTTTGGCATTTCTCTTTAGAGAAATGTGTCGGGCGACGAATTATAAGAAAATTGCTATCGGTGGATGTCTTTTGCTTCTACAATCATGGGCGTGGTTCCGCATGCCTTTCTTATGCCCGATCGTGAATGAACCATACGTATTCCCCTTATTGTTGAGGTAATTTTCGAACTAAATTTTGATTTAAATATTTTCAATTAAATAGGGTGATATTTAGTTTATATTATATTTCATAGGTGGTCGATGAAAAGAAATGACCATAAAAGTATACCTACTGGGTTAGAGGAAATTCGTTTACTTATTGATACGAAAGCTGGGTCTGAGGTATGTTTTTAAATTTGTTTAATTATTAATATTTTAATTTAAAATGTTAGATATAATTAGAATATTTTATTTATTTGAATTGTATATTTATATTTCAGTTTCAGTGGATACCTTATGCGAGCGATGAAGTGAAAGCTTGTATCCCACCCCACCTTAGTGGGTCATTAGAGGTATGGATATATGTTATACCTCTTATATGTTATGCTATTATTGAGTGGCATCTAGTTGATCGCGTGCTCCGTCAGTATGGTTGTACGCAATATATTCCTGGAGCTCCTAGGAATTTAGATGACGTGCATAACATAGATAGACGAGGAAAGAAAGATGTTAACTGGGTGGTGAGACACAGAGATTGGATTGCGCTTTGGGAGAACCGATATACACTGTTGGCCCCTCGACAATATTACGCTGAAACTGGTCATATGGTTACGAATAACTATATGGACTGGTTTAATGAAAATGGGAAGCCGTTTCTACTTTCGACGGAAGCACGAGGGGTTAACATTCCTAGGCACCGAGAAAGACGTCAACCGTCTCAATATCATCGTCCCCCAACGCGTGGACTGAGAGAAGACGCTACCGGTTCTGCATCAGTCCCACCACAACATCCTTATTCGTCGATGCCGCAGGGGTACATGCCCAGCCCTCCACTTCATATGCCAAGCCCACCAGTTTATATGCCATCTCCGCAGGGTTACATTCCGAGCCCGCAGGGTTATATTCCTAGCCCGCCAGGTTACATGCCTAGCCCGCAGGGTTTTATACCATATGGAGGTGCATATACGACTATGTTTAATGATCCAGCATATGGTTCATATGCATCTTATTTGGCTGGTAATGCTTCTCCGCAGACACCTCAATCTCCATCTGGATCACATACATCGATTCCAATGTTTCCACAGTTTTCACAGTTCCCGGGGAGCGGTGGGATTGTTACTAGCACTCCTCCAGGGTCGTTATTTTATACAGGCCCTTCAGCCCCTTCAGCGTCATCTACACCAAATGAAGAAAATGCTGTTGATGATGATAGTGAAGATGAGGAGACTGAAGAACAAGTTCCACGAAGAAATCCTCCACGAAATAGACAACCACCGCCATGTGGAACTCATTCGAGAAGACGACATCGGTGATCCAGTTGTATTTAATGTTATTTAAATAATTATATTTCAGAATTTTATGTAATTTGGTTATGTTATTTAAATGTTTCATGGTTGTTACATACATATTTTTTAATGTTATTTTTTATTCACATTTAACATTAAATGTTTGATAAATGTTTTTAAAATACAAATTATATTATTCGAAATTTAAAATAAAAATAAAAATAATATTATTCGAAATTTAAATTTAAAATATAAATTATAGTATTCGAAATTTAACATTAAATTTCAACTTAATATTCCAATTGTATTCGAAATTAAAAGTTATATTCCAATTATAGTTCACAATACTTAAATTGAAATTAAATTTATCCATACATATGATTTTATCATTAACATATATATTAAAACGTATATATTAAAATCAACTTATGTTGAGTTAATCGATCGACGGAATCGGCCAAGAGGGGGGTGAATTGGTAATTTATTCAATGTCACATTTCAATGGTCATTCCATACAATTTCAATGTCACAATCAACTTATCACTTCACATTTATTCAATTTATCCATAACATTTTATCTAATTTATTCAAACTTCACATAACGTTTTAATTTAAGTTATTCTTAACTTGCTGAACTTTCAAAAGAAGTTAAATTTTGGTTATAATTTACCTGATTTACTGATATATCTAGTGTCCCCGAGGGACATGAGTGACATAATAGGGCAATGATAACATATTCTATGACAAAATAATGGAAGGCGCCCCCGGGAACGCCCTTCATGTGAATAGTGAAATAATAGGTACTGATATATCTAGTGTCCCCGAGGGACATGAGTGACATAATAGGGCAATGATAACATATTCTCTGAAATAATGGAAGGCGCGCCCCCGGGAACGCGCCTTCATGTGAATAGTACTCCGATTATAGACACTATTATAAGCAACATATTATAAACTTTCAAAACAAACTTCAGTTCACAAGCTTTCAAATTCTCAAATTCCCAAACTCTAAATTCTCAAATTCTCTGAAAATGAGTCGTCTTTCTGCTGTTGTTTTGTATGATGAACTAATTAAGGAAGCTGAAGAGGGGGTTATTTTTGAGTCAGATCATTATATCCCCTTAACCTTGAAGAGAAACATCACAATTGAGGAGTTAATCATAAAAAATTCGTTAAAGATTCGTGTAGCAGGCCAGAGAAGACTATCTTCACTTCAGTACAGATTTCCTACTGAACTTTTTCCGCTCACGTATACATCATTTCAGCTTTCAAACGATGATGATGTTTCTATGATGGTTGATGCTCATATGGGGAGTTCACAATCTCTTATTGAAATGTATGCCACTTTTATTGAGGTTCGTGTAACTCGTGGTCTCTCATATTCCTCTCACTTTGGCATTGCATATCAAACTGATCAAGTTGATAGCCCGACACAACTGATTTGTAATGATTTCACATCATTAATGGCGGATCCAACGCCAGATACCATGCCATCAAGTTCAATAGGAAGGCATTCATCTGCCACTGCTTATGATCTCAACCCACGTGGCTTCACCAATAATCCATATGGCAACATCTCTTCTACTTCAAGGGGCAGACATTCATCTGCCAATGTTTTCGACTTACATATGAAAATGTCAACGAGACGACAGTCTATTCACATCCCATATGATACAATGGCCTCAAGTTCAAGGGGAGGACATGCAAGCGGGAACTTATTTGACCTCAACATT